CATACGTTTCTAAAAAAAAAAGAAGCTAATCTTAATCAATAACTCCTATCCTATTTCTATCAATCAAACAAAAGCAATAAGACAAATTTATCAACTTATCATACATTTATTATCTAAAAAATTCAAAATTACTTTCTAAATCTATATGTGATTTTAAAATTCTAGCAGCTATTCTAAGTGTATGTTATGTTAAATCCTAATATATATATTATATAATGTATATATTATATATATGAATATAAAAATAATAAAAAAATATATGAAGTAAAAAATATAGATATATATATATATATATATATATATATATATATATATATAATGTATATATATATATATATATATTTTTTTATATATTACTTTTTAATTTGATTTTTTTTCTAAATTTATTTTTCTTTTTTCTGTCATCGAAAATGGAATATATATATTTTTAAAATCATTAAATCTATTAATATTAATATTTATATAAATTTATATATATATTTATATATTATTTATAATATATTCTTATATTATTTTTATTTAATAATATTTATTAAATACCCTATACTTTTTTATGATAAATTATTTGTATACTGTTAAATTAAAAGATCTATATCAGAATTTTGCACTTTCTATATATTTAATTGTGATAATCCCTTTTATATTTGTTACGAATTAAGTTCTCCTTCTTTTACACCATTTTTAAAAAATAAATATAAATCTTTAATATTTAAATCAATTTAATTTGTTAATTAATGTTTCTATTTTTCAATCTCTTTTAGTGCCATATGTAACTCTTTTAAACTATTTATAAATATTATCATATCTTATTATTCATAAACATCTGATTATTCATGTAATATTTCATATCTTAGAGGTATTATATTTCTAACTTAAACAGGACTTATATTTCTAATTAGAGCTGTATTAATGGTTCTTATTGGAATAGGACTTTCTGTTTATCTAACTAGAATCGTGCTTACATCGTTTTTAATATCAATAGGATTTGTCCTTTATTATTTATTTATATATTGTACGCTTTTTATTTTATATTTTAATTACATTTAAAATTAATTTTAATAAATTGGAGTTTTATAAAATGTATTATTTTAAATGTATGGCTTTAATATTTTTATTAAAAAAAATATGTATTTCTTTTTCTTATTATTTAGTGATTTATATTACTTGTTCCTAATAAACTTAATCATAATCAAGAGCTTAATTATAATATGAATTCATAAATTGATTTGATTTGATTTTTTTTTTAAATATTATAAAGTTTCTTTCTATTTATTTTAAAAAATATAAAATAAAACAATAATAATTTAAACAAAACACAAAAAATGAAAAACAATTACCAATATAAAAATTAATTTTAAATAAAAAAAAATATAAAGTTTTTTAATATATATTTGTGCGTGCGATTTAAATGATACTTAAATATAAAATTAATTATTTGATAAAATAACTAATTCTTTTTATTCATTTTTAACGAGATTCATCGCCAGTTTTTCTTTATATATCTTTAACACATGTACTATAAAAAAACAATACACTATAAATATTAATTTTCATACTTTTATGAGGTATTAATTCATTTATTCAAGTAATTTTTTCTATGAAATACGCTTTTACATTTAATACATTTCATATATATAAATTTTATTTTCGCACTCTCGTCACCTCTTTCTTATCATTTTATTGCATTAATCATCTTCTAAAAAATTAATTCCCTTTATAATCGTGTATATGTTGGCTCCTTCTTTAAAAAATTAACCCTTCTTACTTCTTAGCAACTATAGTATTTAGTTTTGTTTAGCCACAACCTTTATCACAATAATTTAGGATGGGAAAAAAGCTCTTTTTTTCCAAAATACTCATAAGCATCTCTTAAGTTTGTCTAGATTTCAATATATAATGTAAATTTATAATGTTTTACCTAAGATTTAACATTACTAGATAGAGTCGAAATAAAATAAACCGCAAATAATATTTTTTTATAATATTTTTATTAAAAAAATAAACAATTAAAAGACAAATAAAGTAATTTATAATGATTTAAACAAATTATTAATATATTTTAATGTTTATAAATTATTTTATTATTTTCGATTCTTATTAGCCGTCTTTTTAATTAAATAATTTGGTTTGTTTGTTTAATTTCTTGATTTTATCTTTACATATATTTATTTAAAGTATCTTCTTTTGAAAAAGGAACTAAAAGGAATTCTATATTTAATAACAAAAATAAAATAATCGTCTTCATAACTGATACATTTAAATTCTAATTAATTTATATTTACACTATTCTGGATATAATAAGACATAAAACAATTCCCTTAAAGGATATATACCTAACTATATTATTCTACACATTAATTATCATAAAAAATAATAATATAATAATTAAATTCAGTATTTACATTATTATTAGGTTGCTTTATCAGGACATTATTCACATTAATTTATTGTTGAAATAAAACAAATTTTACGTGAACCATCACATATATCAAGAATGTAAATAAAAAAAATTAATACCAAATTCTTGAGAATTAATGTCGTTGGTAACCAAAAATTATTTATTGTCAATAAATAATATATATTATCTTGAAAATTTAAAAATTAATCGACATTTTGAGAGTTTTCAGTATATGTTTACATAAAATCATAATTATGAGTAATTTATAAAAATTATAAAAATTACTATTGAATTTAATTATGAGTAATTTATAAAAATTACTATTGAATTTAATTATGAGTAATTTATAAAAATTACTATTGAATTTAATTATGAGTAATTTATAAAAATTACTATTGAATTTAATTATGAGTAATTTATAAAAATTTATATTAAATTAAGAATATTTACTATTAATTAATATATAAAATTTTATTAAAATACACTATTAAACAAATAGTGGAATATAATATACTTTTTTATTATTTCAGGCGATTTTGAAATAAAAAAAACGAAAATACTACCAGAATTTAAAATTTTAGGAATTATAGATAAAAATTTAATAAGTGATCAATCAGATATAAATTCAAAATTATTAAAATATAGATATTAAATAAAATATTATATAAATAATTAAACTTTATAAGTTAATATGTTTAGGTATTTTAGTATAAAATTAATGGCATTTTTATATATATAAAAAAAAAATTATTTTAACTTTTAATATATTCTAATTTTTTATTTAATAATAAATAAAAAAAAAAAAAAAATTATTCATATTTAAAGAATAATTAAAATAAATTATGATTATAATTAATATAAAATTATTTTAAAAAAAATAAGAATGTTTTTAATAATAAAATTATAAATTAGAAATAATATATATGTCATTTAATTATTTATTTTAAGATTAAGTATATTTATAAAATTTATTAAAAATTGGTTCTAGATATAATTATTTTTACAAATTATATATAACTATTTTATTTATCTATAATTTTTTTTTAAATAAATATATAAATAAAATTAAAAATTATATTATCATAAATAAAAATTTATTTGTAATCAATATACTTATTTATTGTACAAATTTATTAAAAACTAAAAAAAAAAAATAATAAATTGTATATATATAAATAAATTAAAAAATAATATAATAAATATAAAAATATATTTATATATATATATATATATTTAAATATATTTATAAATACAAATATTTTATATTTTTATTTTTATATTTTATTTTTTCAATTAGTATATAATTAAATTAATTGTAATTATAATTAATTATAATAATTCTCAAATTAAATATTTAAAATATTAATACAAAAATATAATATAATTATTAAAATATTAATATAAATGAAACTATAATATAATTTTTTATATATTTTAAAATTGTAATTCTTTCAATTTTTTTTTTAAAAAAATCTTTATTTTTAAAATCAATCTTTGTTATTTATCTTTAGTCTAATTTTTTAAAGAATGATATTAGCATTAATTATCGTTTGGAAATAAATTTTAAATATTATATATATATAATAATTTATATTTTTATATTATTATTTATTATATATATTTATATATATTTTTATAAACATAAAATAATTGAAAAAAAAAATTTTCAATCTTAAAATTTAAAATTAAAATCATATTCTTTTTTTTAATTTAAATAAAAGCTAAATTATTTTTATATTTTTAATTTTTTACATTTTAAGTTTGAAAACACTTCTTTTAAAATTTCATCTTCGTTTTATAAGTCACTCAAAATTGTTTAAAGTATTAATTTTTGTTGTTCATTTAATTATTATATACATTTAATTTATTCATTTTTCAAATTTTTTATTAAACTTTCACTAAATCCTTATTACAATAAAATTTATAAAATAGGCATCTATTTTTTTTTTCAAATAAAGGGAATAGCTCATATTTTTAAATAGGATTTTCATACATTTTAAATTATTAACTATATTATGCATTATAGTAAGACGTTTTTTAGTCTTGTAAATCTTCTAAAGACTAATCTCTTGAAATAGTAAAATTAGATGAAGAATATTAGCTTTAGTTGGAAAAAATATAATCGCTTTAATAATCATAATTATGGTTGTTAAAATTATTTTAGTTAAATAATTTATAATCTTTATCTTAATTATTAAAATTTTTTAAAATTTATGAATATTAAGAGAAATTATTATTATTATTATTATCATATTGTTATTAAAATTAATTATTTTCATAATAATTATTATTTATTATTTAAATATCATTATTTTTATTTAAATATATTACTTATTTTTATTAATTTTAATATTAAATATTTTAATATTATTATTAATATTTTTATTGTTTTTTTCCTTTGAATTTCATTTAAATTTCTTCTTCTTTTTTAAAAAAAACATCAATAGGTGCTCCTAATTATTATTCAATTTATTTATTTTATCTATATATATATATACGTTTTTTTTATTTATTTATTTTAAATATATATGTATAATAATATTACATTATAAATTAATTTTAAATCTAAACTGCAATTAAAAATTCTCCTTAAATTAATTACTCTGAAATAATCCTTCTATCATTATTATTATGATATAGATAACAATTTAGCTATTAACAATTTTAATCTAAACAAGGTTTAGTTTTATATGCTAGAGGATGATAATCAAATTCTTTCCATCCATGGCACTGTTTACACTCTTGTAGATTTTAGCAACCACCTTCAATGTATTTAGTGATATTTTCTTTACTCCAATTTTAACACTAGAGGTTTTAAAGTTTTATTTTTTTAGGGTCTCTTCTGAAATCTTGAACATTATGCATATACACACATTCACTTCTTTCATGTCTTTTTTTAATTATTATTATTTTTTTTAAAAAAAAAAAAAAATTAGAATTTATTTTATTTTATAAAAATAATACTGTTCTGTATTTGGACACCAAACTGTTTTATAAAAATAAATATAAAAAATATTATTTTTAGGTAATTTTTCAATAAAAGGAATAACTAATTCTTATTCAGAATGTGCAAACGAACAATATTATCCATATTCACAAAGTTATAAAGTTCCATATTTTAAAGATTTACAAAATTTTGTTCTATATCTAAGTGGGTGGTATAGTTATTCAACTTTATTATGTACTTAAAGACATGTAGATTTATATTCACACTTTTCACGGTTTTTACATTGATTTATGGAATATGAGTATTTTAAAGGACATCTTCTTTAGTCTTCATGACTATGATAGAAAGAACATTTTTTCTTGTCATGAGGCTCTTTTTTTTAACATTAGGTTGTCTTGAATTCAGTTATGGGAAAGAATTCGGATTTTTTTGATGTCTAGTCAGAGTTGGGTATGTTAAATTCAAAAGAAGGAGATGATAGTTTCATTAGATTTAACTTTTTTTATTGGAATTTTTGTAGTTTGGCAGCTTAAGGTTTGTTTATAGAATGAATATTCATTTTTTGAATGCTTTTTTTGTATTTTTTTAAAGGTTTTTTTAATCTTATTATATGGGAAAATTTAATTTTTTTTTTTTTAGATTTATGAATAAAGAAAAGAAGGAGTTTTCTTAAATAATTTTAGTTTTAATTTAGTTTTTTATTTTTTTATTTAAGAGTTTTTTTAATTTTTTTTGTTTTGTCTTTTTTTTTATTTAATTTTATTTTATTTTTTAACTATTTTTTTTTTAATTGTTTTAATATTTAATTATATAAACCTATTTTTTTTTATATATATAATTCGTTCTTTATTAAAATAAATTAATACCTTCTTGTTTCTTATAAGCTTTAGTTTTTATTCTTTTGCTTTATTTTTGTACTTTTTTGTTTTTTTTTTGTTTTGTTTTGTTTTTTGTTTTTTTTTTTTTTTTTAAGTTACTTTATTGTTTTTATTAATTTAATTTTTATTAAAAAATTATTTGAATTTTAAATAGAATGATTAAATATTTAAGTTTCTAAAATAATATTAAATAAAATATATAAATATTTAATTTAATTTAAATTAAATTTAAATAACATTTAATAATAAAAATGATATATTTGCATATTAACGCATTTTATTTTTTAATTTGATTATATGATTATATATAATTTAAAATTTAAAATTTAAATTTTTGAGCCAAAAATAAATAGAAAATAATAATTATTAAAATTTATATATATCTAAATATTTTTTATTTATAATAATTTATTTCTAAAAAACATATTTATTTTAATATTTAAATTAATTAAGATATATATTATTTTTTCAAAACACAAAAATAAATTTAAAAAACAAATTTGAAAATCAAATGAAATTTAATTAAATTTTTAATGAATAACAAATTAAATAAAAATTTAAAAACTTAGAAAATGTTTAAATAAACAAAAAAAATTAAAATATATTTTATAATAAGGGCTAAAAAAAAAAATTAACAAAATAATACTAAAATATCTAAAATTTAATATAAAAAGTACAAATATTTGCTATTTAATTAATCATATATATAAATAAAACTTAAACATAGAAACAAATAAGTATAAATAATATTTAATGTATAATTATAAAAGAATAAGTTAATATGATAAATATTAAAAAAAAGAATAACTATACTCTTAAATAACAAATAAAATTCTACTAATCATCAAAATGATAAATATCTATGCAAAAAAAATAAAATGAAATATATCAATTAAATAATAATTAATTAAATTTATTAATTTTTAGAAAATAAAATAAATAAATTATATAAATTAGATACGAATTGAAATTGAATATTATAGATTTAGAAAATGTAATTTATTATTTAAAATAAGACTTAATTTAGGAAAAAATTATAACAGAGGAGAATAAGATATATATAAAATTAAATAAAAAAATAGATAATAATTTAATACTAAAATTTTTATTTTTAAATTGATTTAGTAATTTTAAAGAAAAATTGAATAACATATTAAATTATTAATTAGAATAAATATTGAATAAAAATAAAAATTTAAAGTTCATATTATAGATAAAAATAATATACAAAAAAATAGTAATTATATTAATCAAAATAAGAATTTTTTATTTTAAATATATAAAAAAATATTATTAATATGTAAAAATTTAATTTTAAGAAAATAAAAAAAGTCTATTATATACTGAATAAAAAATAAATAATATAATTATATCAAATTTATGTATTTATATATATATATATTTTATTTTAATTTTAAATATTGTAATCAAATATTAATATTTGCTAATTAATATAGCAGTATTTTATTTTTTATAGAATTTATTTAATTAAAAACAAATTAATTATAATTTTATGCTATATCTAATGCACTAAATTCGTTTTATATAAAATTTATTATTTATTTTTCTTTAATAATGATTTCATTATAAGTTAGGTTTTTTAAAATGTATTCTATTTAACTTTCTATATTCTTATTTATTTTTAAATATAATATTATTATTATATAAATATTAATAATATATATAACTTATATGTATATTATATCTGCTATTATTAAAGATTATTAAATCTATTAATCTATGAATTTCTAATTTTATTTACCTAGTTTTTATTCCAAAGATTTTTCTTTTTTTAAAAAAAAATAAAATAAAAAAATCTTTTTTCTATTAATAAAAAAATACTATTCTAATATACTAAGTTTATATTTTTTTAATGAATTTCTTTAAATTTTTATAAATCTTAATTATTTTGAATATTAATATATTAGTTACTTACTTTTTACTAAATATCTTTAAAATAATTATATAAAAAAATAAAAATGAATATTACCTTTAAATAATCTTAATGTTCTTAAGATATTCAGTATTTAATTTTGATCATTTTATATAACATTTAAAAATTCTAAAAATGTAATATTTTTAATATTAATTTCTTTGATTTTTCTATTTTAAGTACATCCTATGATTAAATGAGCATCTTTTAGAAATTAAAATGAATTAATTAAAAGTTTATTTAATTTTTATTTTAACTAATAATTTTTCTATTTTTCATCAAATTAGTTTTAATTTGAAATTTATGAAAAATCATTTTCATTTAAAATAATATACTAATCATTTTCATTTGATATATTCAGATAGTTTAAAAAATCTTAATTTTCTTATATTATTTTATTATTTATTTAATTATTTTATAAATTTTTATATTCTTAAGATTTATTTTATTCAAATTATATATTTTCTTCTTCTTTTTCATATTCATTAGTTTATTCTATTTATATCCCCAAAACTTAATCTAATTTATAAACTTATTTATTAATAAATTATTACTCGTTTTTATCATATATATCATCGAAAAAATCAGGACTAAAATCAAATTTTAGATCTAATAAATTTTCATCAAATTAAATTTAATTTAGAACAAAATTATCTTTATTTTTTTAAATAAATTCTTGAAATAATAAAGTTTAATGTAATTCATCATTTTTTTCATCTTATTCATTTTTAGATTAAATTTTTAAAACCTGGCTTTATAAAAGAATAAATTATTAATATAAAATACTAAGATTTGTACTCATTGATTAAATATTTAATAAATTTTTTTAAAATATTTTTTTATATTCGTTTTTTTATTAAAATTCTAAAAAATTTTATTAGGTTTATAAGTAGCTTAAAAGATTTTCAAATTAATAAAAGAAATGTTAATTGAGATCATTTTTTTCGATTTTTTTATTATTTTAATTATTCTCAAAATCTAATCTAAAAGTTTTTAATAATTATATATATTTTTTTATTATTTTATATTGGAGATTAGTAATGTGTAAATAAATCAGCTTATTCAGTTTATATTTCTTTTTCTTTAAAAATAGGGTTTTTTGATAATTAATCAATTTATTAATTGTATTATTTTATGGATTCCTATAAATGCTTTATTTAGGTTTTTTAATTTTGGATTAATTAAAAACTTTATTACTATTTTTTTTATATATATATTTATTAAGTTTGAAAAAAAATTTATTAAATTTAAATTATACTTATCCAATAAGAAATGATTTGATTTTTTTTCTATAATTGTTCTCTAAATTAGAGCATAAGTTTGTTTAAAAATTTGTAAAAAAAGATAAATTTTTCATATTTATATATATTATTAAAAATTTAAAAAAATATTTATTTTAAAAATAAATTCTATTTAGTCAAAAAAAAGTAAATTAAACGAATTTTTATAGAAAACAAATAATTAAAATAATAATAATATATAAATGTAAAAATATTAATTCATAATTATTTATCAACATTTGATTAATCAATCCAATAATTATGCATTAAATCAATTCTATAAATAATTTCGTTTTAGTCACATTCAAGTTTATCTTCATAATATTTATTTAATTTATTTATTATTTAGCAATCTTAAATATTTCTAAAACATAGCACCCCGATTAAATCATACATAAACAGTAAATTAATACCAGTTTCTTTTTTAATAATTTAAAAATTTAATATACCTTATTATTTCCTCACCTCATTAATTTCTTTATAAAAATTATTAAATAATTAAATAAAATTATCATTAAAGGCTTAAATAAGGTTCTCATTTTCTTCGAAAACTTTAAAATTATAAGCATTTCCTCTATCAATTAGATTAAAATCAGGCATATTTTTTAACGCAGAATCCATTTCATCAATAAATTTACTGTACACTAAAAAATAACATTTATGTAAATATTTTTTATAAAAATATATGTATATATATATATATATATATATATTTATTTGTAATTTATATAAATATATATATCTATAATTTAACTTTTTTAACAATCTTATTTTTTCTAAAAAATTACTTTTCTTTATCTTTTTAATTCATACTTCCAATCATTGGATGTTATATATGTTTCCCATTTTTATTTATTTATTTCTAGTATTCCAGCTTTATTTACATTATCAAAAGAAACTAATTCTACTAAATAATTAAATAAGGAAAATGCTCTTTTCCATAATAAAAAAGAACATTTAATATATAAATCATTTGGAATATTTTCTTTTTCTCTTTTTTATTCTTCTAGTTGTTTAGCTATTTTAGCAAAAAAATCAGCTTTTTAAATCTCCATTTCTAATTTATTTCTTGCTTCTTTCCCTTTTAGTATTTTTTCATTGTAATCGAAATGCTTTTAATTGGCAAGATTTGCATTTTATTCTATGTCTTCTATTTCAATATTTAATTCATTTTCCTCACAATTAATACTTTCAAAAATATTGTTATTATTATCGAAATTTTCATTTTGACATTTATCTAATACCAAATCGAATAAATCAGGCCAAGAAATCCTTTAATCTTCATTAACTACGATCATTTAATTTAATAAATTAATAGAAAAATCAGATAATTTCCGTGACAAAGTGTTTTATTTAATAAATTCTTAAAAATTGAAAGACAAAATTGTACTTCTAAATGTGGCATCGTTAGATATGTTTTCCCAAGGAACTTCTTTAAAAAACATAAAATATAAAGTAACACCTAAAGACCAAATATCACACTTTGATGTGTATGAATTTCCATTAATTATTTATGGGGCCATATATTTTTATGTACCCCTATGCGTAATATTTTCCTAATTTCTATATACGTTTTTACTCACACCAAAATCAGCAAGTTTACACTAACCATTATGCAATAATATATTACTTGGTTTAACATCTCCGTGTAAAACATCATTATCGTATAAATATTTAAATGCAGAACATATTTATTTAAATAAATCTTATATTATATTTAAAAAAATATGTATAGATATATATATTAATAAATATATATATATATATATTATATATATATATTAATTATAATTACCTTGTATTTATTCTTCATTTAAATTATAAGCATTTATATAATCTTCTAATGTTCCTTCATTACAAAATTCTAGCATTAAATACATAGCATCTTTTGTTTTTTTTGCATCTATAAATTTAACTATGTTTTAGTGTTAGAGTTTTCTTAATAAATTTATTTCTGTTAAAATTGAGTCTGTAATTTCATTTTTAGCTGATAAAAGAATGCATTTTATGACGATTTTTTTTTAATTTTTAGTTTGAAAACCCATATATACACGTCCACATGAACCTGATCCTTTTATATTATCTAATTCTATGAAATATTAATCTAATTAAAGCAATCTTTATTAAGATTATTTATTTTTCTATTGCTTTTTTTAACTATCCATTTATTATATTTTTTTTTTTTTTTATTTTTATATATTTATAAATAAATTAAATTATTAAATAAAATAAAGCATTAATTTAATATAATTTATTATATATAAAAACAAAAAAATCAATTCATAATTATTCTAATAAATTCTTAGCATTTAAAACCTAAGAACCTCCATATAAAACATACTTTGTGGTTCCATTACTATTATATTTTTTCATAAGTTCACATAAACTTTAATATTCATTATAATTAGCCCCATCAATCATAAAGACAACAACTATATCTGCATTAGTTTATACATTTCTTAATTCTGTTTATAATTCAAATTATTTTAAACCACATTTATCCCAACAACTTCCTTTACTTTCAATAATTTAATTAACTAATTAAGCTGTGGGATTTTCATTTTGAGCTCCCGGGAGAAATAATTTAACTTTGGATGTAATTTTTCCAAAAATACTTCCTTTGTTATAATAATCTTCATTATTTTCATTTTTTTTAGGTTTAAATATATTTAGAATTTTAATATATTTCTCGTTTTAAATATTGGCCATATTTATATATTTCTCATACTCTTCTAAACTTGTGCCTATATTTATTGCCCAAATTATTAAAATTCTTACGTTATCAATTTAATTTTCTTAATTTTATTATTATTATAAAATTTCCATAAACTCGTTTTTTTCTTCCCTATTTAATCCTTTATTCTAAACCATAGCCTATGCTAGTTCAAAATATTTATCTAACTACCTTTTTTTTAATTCTGATAAAATATATGCTGCGATAGTCATATGAGTTTCAATTAATCGTTTTTTATCCTTCATATTCTAAACATTATCGAGTGCATTTGATATGTTTTTGTCCTGCATCATCTTATCGTATCCTTATTGCCATTCCTGCATTTATTTATCAATATCCTCTGCCACATTAGGCAGTGGTTAGTTGATATTTTCGTTCCAATATTGGTCATTTATACAGTCTAGATCGTATATTTTTCCTTCCACCTTTACTTTGTTGCTACTTATGGATAATATATCGTCTACTAAGCTCCCATAGTGCCACCCATGCATTAGTTATGAGGAAAAGTCTATGTTGCGTGGTAATAATAATAATATAGGCTCATTTTGACATGTTAAATAGTCGTTTTCTTCATCTTCTTAATCTTTTGTGTTTAGGTAATATTTTTGGTATATTTATTGTAGTTTTTCACATATTTAAAATGAAGAATCGCCTTGATAATATATAAAAGGGGTTTTTTTCATTGTCCTAAATACACTATATAATCCGAAAGATATTTAATCTATAGTATTTATGTTTTGGTTTTTTAAATTAAGAAATGCATTTTCGATATTAAGAGTGAAAAAATTATGCTATATAGTCACAAAGGATATATTATGGACAGAAATTTCCTTTATTTTGTAAACTTGTTGCATTTTGGATATATTTAAGGCTAGTTTTTCCAATAACTGGTCTTATATTTAACTAGTGAAGTGTATATGGACTTTATCGTAAATATCCTTTTGAAAATCTTCAGTTATTAAGTTTATATTATCTTATGTTGGCTAGATAAGGTAGTAAGCATTCATGCCGTGAAGCTTTTCACGCTTTGTTAGGATGGAATTGTGAAGGGTTATGTTTAAATCACGTAGATTTCCTACTTTTAAAAGGGTGGAGAGTATATTTTGACTATATGTGTCGTATATTAGAACTTTCCAGATTGATTAAGTGTGGAGATCTTCGTCGTTTTAGTAATTTTTAAAGAGGGCTTAAAGTTCGTGTTTTTACATTTATATTAGGTTTGTTTGCTTTTAGAGTTTGTTTGTAAATTAATCCATTTTTTTTTTTTTAGTTGTATATTTTTTTTTTATATATATAAATTATTTTTATATGTTTAAGATTCTTATACTTTTTATTTAATTATTTAAAATTTTTTTAATAAAAACGTGTTAAGGAATTAATTTTTTTATTTTATAAATATATTATTTCTTAGTAATAATAAAGTTTATTTATTGTGAATCCTTTAAATATTATTTTTGTTAAATTAACAATTACAGAGAGAAAATTTATTATGATTTTATTTTATTTTTTTGATTGTTATTTATTTAAAAATAAATTAATCAATAATAATAAAAAGTATAAATTTACCATTGAATTTTTTATATATTTCAGTTTTTATTAAATGGGAAATAGGTATATCTTAGGGTTATGTTATTAATATATGATATTAATTATAAATATAAATTTTATATATATTTTTTAGGTATCATTTTATATATTTAATGTTTTAAAAATTGTAATTATTATTATAATATTTTTATATATATAATTTATTCTCTAATTTTATTTTTTAATTATTATAATAATTTGTAATCAAAAAATTTCTTTAAATTAATTATACTATTACTATTATTATAAAAATTTATTTATTAAAATATTAATAATTATTATTTTAACTATATTATAAGAATATATATATATATATTTATTGTAATTTTATTATTTCTGGTTTAAAAATATAGTATATTTGTTAAATATTAATCATTTATTGTTATTAAATTATTTTATTATTATTTATAAGAAGATTTTATTTTTATTATTTTTTTTTTTTTGATTTATTGTTAATAAAATTAAAATAAATAAAATATTTTAAACAAAATATAAATAATTTATTTATTGAAATTTTTAAGATATTTACCGCCAATATTTAAATATTATTGTTTATTTATTTCGTTTTTAAAAAAGATATGATCATTAAATCTTTAAAAAAATATTTTAAACTGATATATGTGTAAATTCATTATATATATATATACTATTCAATTTGTATATTCATTTATAATTTAATTTTTCTATAATTTTTTTTTTTTTAACTATAAAAAAATATTTAATTTTATATTTATTTATATGTTATTTTTTGAGATTTTTTTTTTTTTAAAGAGGGAATTTTGTAAAAATATGTATCTAATCTATAAAATAAATATTTACATTTAATTTTTTTTTTATTTAATATGATTAATTTCTAATATTATAAAAAAAAAAAATAAAAAAAAATATATACATATTTAAGTGTCTTATATTAACAAAAAAAAAAAATTAAAAAAAAAAATTTAAAAAAAAAAATTAAAATAAAAATAAATAAAAAACATGTCCAAAATAAAAAACAACAGCAAAAAAATTAAAAAAATAATTGAAGAAGACGATTCTTCTTCCTAAAGCGAATCCGAAGAAAACAGTGAATATTCAAATAAAAAAAATGAAGAAAATGGTTATGATTAAATTGATGAAGCCTCCGATTCTGCCCCATAAGATGAAAAAAAAGCCCCATAACCATAAGAAAATAAGCGAAAAAATTCTCTTACAGAAAACCTGGCAAATCCTCCTCCTAAAAAGCAAATAAAAGCGAACATTAATAATGGCAATAACAATAATAATAATAACAATCATAATAATAATTAAAGTGATGAAGAAGAATAAGATGATGAAAACGATATAAAATGGAAATATTTAGAACATCACGGTGTTTTATTTCCAGATTACTGGAAAAAACACAATATAAAAATCATGTATGATAATAAACCAATCGATTTAACTTTATATTAGGAAGAAATGGCTACTTATTGGTCATAAACACTTGGTACAGACTGGGAGAATAAGCCTTGTTATAGAGATAATTTTTCAAAATAATTTTTGACGACATTTAGTGAAAAAAATATGGACTTTAATAAATTTAATTTTTGGCCAATTAAAGAACACTTAGAAGCTTAAAAAGAAATAAGAAAGAATAGATCTAAAGAAGAAAAAAAAAGCGAAAAAGATCGCAAAGATCAACTCGCGAATTTCTACGCAGGCGCAATTCTAGATTTTTATAGAGAAAAAGTAGGATAGTATATGATAGAGCCTCCTACTTTATTTAAAGGAAGAGGAGAACACCCCAAAATGGGTTTGATGAAAGGAAGAATATAACCAGAAGCAGTTGTTATTAATATTGCGAAAGATGCACCTATTCCTAAATGTATAGTTGCAGGACATGCCTGGGGTGATATTGTACATAAATAAGATGTTACATGGTTGGCTAGTTATAAAGATAATTCAGTAAAGAAATAACATAAATATTTTTTTTTATCAGCAGAAAGTAGATTAAAGGCTGAAAATGATAAAAAAAAATACGAAAAAGCACGAAAATTGAAAAATGTTATTGGATAAATTAGGGAAAATTATGAAATGAAATTAAAAAGTTCCAATGAAGTCGATAGATAATTAGGGACGGCCACTTATCTTATTGATAAATTGGCTTTGAGAGTAGGAAATGAAAAATCGGAAGAAGAAGCAGATACTGTAGGGTGTTGTTCTTTAAGAATTGAACATATTTAAGTTTTAGATGATTGTTAAATATCTTTTGACTTTTTAGGTAATATATATATATTTAATTAATTATTAAATTTTTATTTATATATATATATATATATAGGTAAAGATTCTATGAGATACTAAAACACAGTAAAAGTAAATGAGATTGTATGGAAGAATATATCGTAGTTTATTAAAAATAAAAAGGATGATTAAAATTTATTTGATAAAATAGATGCTTCGAGTTTAAATGAATATTTAAAAAGTCAAATGAAAGGTCTTACGGCTAAAGTCTTCAGAACTTACAATGCTTCTCATACTTTGTAAAAGGAATTAGATATGGCAGTAAGTACTAAGATGAATAAAATGGATTTGAAGGAAAAACTTAATTTTTATGATGAAGCGAATAGAAATGTAGCTATTTTATGTAACCATTAGAAGACTGTGGGGAAAAATTTTGATTAAATGTTAAATAGAATGGAGCAAAGGCTTAAGGCTTATAAAGATTACGAAAAGGAATTGTTGGATCATTTAAATAAGTGTAAAAAAAAGGATGTTAAAGAATATGAAGAAGAGACTATTTTAGAAGAAAGGGAAGATGGGAAACATAAAATGCTCACAAAAAAATTTCCAAGTTCTGCAGATAAGACTTAGGAAGCTTTAGAAAAAATAAGGAAGAAAATTAACGAAGAGAAGAATAAGAAAGATAATAAAGAAAAAAATAAAGAAATTGCTTTGGGAACATCCAAAACTAATTATAATGACCCGAGAATTTCTGTTAATTTTTGTAAAAAATGGGATGTGCCTATTGAAAAGGTCTTTCCTAGAACTTTATGTGCGAAATTCGTATGGGCAATGGAAACTGATTTAGATTGGAATTTTTGAATTTTTTTTAAACTATATTAACATTATATATATATATTTTCTTTATTACATATATAAAATATGTGTTTTGAATGCTTACTTTTTTTATAATTATTATAAAAAAATTAAAAATGGTAGTAGTTTATTTTATAAGATATAATAAATTTTTTTAGAAAAAAAAAGATATATATAATAAACATAAATTATTAATATAGTTATTTATTCATTTATATATAAAAACTAAATATATATTTATCAATAATCTAATCTACTACTATTTTATTAATATTCCCCATTTATCCAAATACCTTCAATAACTTTCCCTTCTTAAGTACAAATTTTACCTTATCCATCCATTTTACCACTCTTCCAATATCCTGTATAAAAAGAACCATTTTACCATTTAAAAACACCAAATCCTTCAAATTAATCATTTGCAAATTCACCTTTATTTTAAATAGTTTTTTTTTTAAAAAAAAATAAAAAAACCTTCATATTATTTTCCATCAGGCCATATAAAACTACCTTTACCATACATTTTATTATTTTTCCATTCTCCTTAATAAACTTTTCCAGTATTCCATTTACAAACTCCATATCCATCAATAAGATCATCTTTAAATTCTCCAGTAAATTAATAAGTATTACTAATTGTATATTCTCCTTATCCGTTCATTTTTCCATTTAAATAATTTCCTTTATAAATCATTCCTTTTTTTGTATTTTCTTCCCCATATCCGTTTTTCTCCCCATTTTTCATCCCTCCTTCATATGTGCTTCCGTCTTTTTTCTTCAAAATGCATTTTCCTTCCGGTTTTCCATTTTTAAATATCCCCTTTATGTAATTTCCGTGTATATCAATGTAAAATCCCTCCCCTTCAAATAAATCATCTTTCCAATATCCTTGGTAAAATGAATTATTTTTGCATATTAATCTTCCAAAACCTTATCTTTAATTATTTATTATAATTCCTATATATTTATCTTCTCCTTTATTAATCTTATATAGTTTTTCTTATTGATTTTGGTTGTTTTATGGCAAATCATTTTCTTCAATTTCAACATTTTGTAATATTTATAATATTTATTGTTTAGTTTCGGAATCTATTTGCAAATTTTATGAACAAAAATTACTTGTTTAATTTGTATTTTATAATTAACTTTTTTTATATATGAAAAAAATGTATACTTTTGTAAGTATTTTTTTTATTATTAATAAAAATATTACCTTGATTTTATAAATTCAGTTTAATTTAATTGATTGAATTGTTTTTGTTTTATTATTGCATCTATATTTGACATACCTTATTGTTATTCCTCTTCAAAAATCGTTACGTTTTAAGGATGAGTAAATAGTATTTTATTTTCATTTATTTGATTGCTTTTTATGCCATCTTAATTCATTTCTTTTTATATGTTTTCTTAAAATTCTTTCTATTTTTCAATGTTTGAACAGCAATCATTACCCATATTTATTTTATTATTTATATAATATATATATTATTCAATTTTTCGCTTATTTTAATTTAAAAAATAAAAAAAAAAAAAAAAACACAAATAATAAAAATAATAATAAATTTTAAAAATAATAAATAAAATAATAAATTATATGTAATACTATAATTTTTATTAATATTCATAATATTAAATAATAAAAATAATTAATAAATTATATGTTAAATTTAATTTAATTTATATTTTATTTCTAATAGTTTTTATATTTGATTTTTATAATAATAAGTTTATAAATTGCAATCTATAATTTTTACTTTACATATTTTAAATTATTAAATTTATATGTAATCAATTTAAATAAAATTTAATTAAATAAAATAATATTAATAAACAAAAACATAAAATATAAAAAATAATTATAAAAAATTATAATAAATTTATGTATATATTATTATCAATTTTTATATAGTTTTATATAATTAATAAAACTTAAAATAAATATTAAATATAATAAATATATATTTTATTATTTAATTTATAATTAATAAGTTATAAAATAGTTTATATATTTAGAGAAGATTAATTATTAATAATAAGTAATCAAAAAACCTCCAAAGATTCTTTAAATAAAAATTTTTAAATTACTTTAATAATATCTTATTTTTTTGTTGGTTTTTCTAAAACATCATCAAAACCATTTTATATACATTTTTCGTTAAAAGAATCACCTCCATATCCTGATTAACAAATAAGAACAATATTTTTATTAATTTTTTTTATTTCTTTGCAGGCTTCAAACCCTCCCATTTTGGGCATTTAATAATCGATAATTCCAAGATCAAATTTCAAAGGAAATTTTTTAACATATTCAATAGCTTTTATAGAATCGGAAAACGTTTAAATAATAAAATTATTATTATTAGCAAAATACATTTAATATTATTACAAAATAAAGCTATTATCATCAATTAATATTATATTTTTCTTAGTTTTTTTTTTTTTTATTATAATATCATCATAATTACATAAATTATTATTTGTTTTATTTAAAAGGACAGAATCACATCTACTCATAGAAAATAAGCTGTCTTAGCTTTCTTTATATATTAATGAACTATATGTAAAACAAGGGAGGTAAAAAATAAAGCTAGAACCCACATTTTTTTTAGATTAAAAAAATACATCACCTCCTATTTAATTTGAAATTTATTTACAAGAGTATAATCCAACACCTGAGCCTCCGTATGTATGTTTTATTTATTTACTTGCTTATTTGAAGATTTAGAAGATGTTTTTTTATTCCTCCATTTCGATTCCTATTCCTGTATCTAGCATTTCAAATTTGAGATATCCTTTACTTTCTGGTTATTCGTTTTCTTCATTTTATAAATTATTGTTATTTTGATAATTTGGATGCAGAAAGGCTTACGATTTCGAATTTTTAAATTCTTAAGAGAAATCATTTTACAGCATTCTACTTTAGGAATAGAGTTTAGAAGGCAATATTTACAAATTCTTTTAAATTTCGTCCAATGTATGGTTTGTAAATTATTTGGGTGTATTATGTGATATAATATTTTAGTCATAATAGTTTTCACATGTATCGGAAATTTTGGTAGAATTGGAATTGTATATGTTTGCTTCATCTTCATCAGAACTGTCATCTAGATCATTTATTTTATTACTTTTTTAATTTTCAAAGTCATTTATAATTGCTAAAGAATTCGTGTTCAAGTTTTCCTTTTTTTCATTTTCATTTAAGAAGCTAACAATTAGATTTATTTGCCCTTTTTCGGTAAATTTAAAAGCATTTGAAAGGAGGTTTTGCAATATAGAATTTACTTCTTGTTAAGGAATTTTTATTACTTTAGGTAAATTTTATTAAGCTATTACTTAGAAATTTACTTGAGGTTTATTGTCTGTAAAGCATTTATTGGTTTATTAAAATTATTCTAAAAATTTGTAAATTTCAACTTTTTGTTCGATTGGAGATTATAAGTAATGAGAATTTTATTAATCATGTTATTAAAAGTAATCGAGTATTTTAGATATTGATAAGTTCATTTATTTTATACATATTTATATAGTTTTGACATATAATGAGTTATTATTAATTTCTTTTATAAGTTATTCTAGACTAAAAGTTATTTATTAAAGGTGATTTCTTAAATCATGAACAAAAATTGGGATTTATCCTAGTTCTTCCTTTTCAAGCATATAATTTTTTTTTATTTAGATAGTTTTTTTGTAAATTTTTTTTAATAAATGAATATTATTATTTTTTAAATATATAAATATATATATATATTTATTTAATAAAATAATTTATATTATTAAATTAATTGATTTAAGAAAAATAATTTATATATTAAATAAAATTTATCTTTTTATACATTTTATAATATAAAAATTATTCTTTCAATTAAATTAAATATATAATTTATATAAATTATTAAAAATATCTGAAATATTTATTGTTATTTTAATATTAATATTAATATTAATATTATTTAAAAATTATTAATATTGAAAATTTGTATAAAAGAAATTTATTTTATACTTAAAATAATATATTATTTATACTAAATTAAAAATGTTAATATTATAAAATAAATAAAAAATTAAATTTATATACATATTAATTTCAGATTATAAAATTTATATTATTTTAATATAATTTTTATAAATCGAGTTTTTAAATAATATATATATTATACATATTTTAATTTTAATTTTTTATTATATCTATAACAAATTAATACTTATTCAATTAATGGCATTGTTTTAATTTGATAACTTGATTATAAAAAAAAAAATTAGATAAATATTAATAATATATGAAATACATATACAAATATAAATATTTATGAAGTATATAAATTTTTATATGAAAATATTAATTTTTAATAATGATATTATTTTTATATAATAATTAAAAAACAATAATAAATATCTTCACAAATGACTATAAATGTCCTTTTTAATATTAGCTTGTTATTATAATAATATATAACATATAAAAATATTATAATTAAATAAATTGCTTTATTATATATTTAAATAATAATGTTATCATTATTTATAAAAAACTCATAATAATATTTAGTTTATAAAACAAAAAATAAATAAAATAATTAAATAAAAATATAAACTATGATATATAGTTTAAATTTATTTCCATAAAATTATAAATAAAAAAATATATTTTTTGAATATATATAAATAAATAAAATTTTTATGAAGTTAAGGTGGATATTTTAAATAATATAATATATATTTTTTTTAATTGTTTCAAACCTAAAAAATATTTTATTTTTTATATAAAAATAATCAATAATAAATATAAAATTAAATATCCGTATTAACGCATTATAATTTTTCTACTCTTATATTGAAAAAAATATATATATAT